ACGGGCGAGGACAACATTGACTTTATAAAATCTAACAACCCCACTGTGAGGGTGGGGAATTAACGCTATGGGGTAATCTTGTCACGATTTATAGCTAACAAGTAAGAAAAACGAATGTAGAGTACTGATGCGACTGCTAATGCTGTTGTAAAGGAGACTGCTGCTACTACCACTATACCCCTACCACTACCTCTACTACTGGTCCTATTCCTTGTAGCACCCCGACCAGCAAAATCCTATTGCAAGTCTAAGTCATACTACTGCGATACGAATAATATTGAACAAGCCTCGATTCGGAAACTAAAATTCCGGATTCGGAAACTGGAAAGTCCCTGGTTCGGAAACAAACAACACCCGATTCAGAAACTAAAATGCCTGATTCGGAAACTAAATTCCCCGATTCGGAAACTAAAACCTCCACTTCAACTTAATTAAATCTAAAATCACCCGAGCGGTGGGGGTCGGGCTTTGGTTGGGGGGTGCGAGGCACAATCTCGGGCTTTGGGGTGGGGGAGGTGGGGGCACAATCTCGTTTCATCTCAACCCACACCGACTTTCTGCTTTTGTGAGCTTTTTAGGGTTTAGGGACTAGCACTCACCAGGACCAGAGTGAAAAACATCTGGGGTCTCCTCCATGAGTTGAGGCCTTACAGAACTTCAAAATGTTGTTCCATTTTGTGATGAGAGTTTATAGGGATTAGGACTCACCTTCTGAATCAGGGTTTTGTAGCTTCCAAATCAGGGTTTTTTGGTTTCCGACTCAGGGTTTTTAGGTTTCCGACTCAGGGCTTTTAGGTTTCCGAATCGTTGTTTGTAGTTTCCAAATCAGGGTTTTTGGTTTCCAAATCAGGGTTTGTGTTTCCGAATCAGCTTTTCCTCGGTTTCCGAATCAATGTTTTCTGGCTTCGAATCAGAGTATTTTGGCTTCCGAATGAGGGCTTTGAGTTTCCGAATCAGGTTGGTTTCCAAATCTGGCTTTTAGTTTCCGCGGGAGGGCGAGACCGAATAATGCTTTAGATACCAGTACTCATACTCACACTCCTTTTAACTTTTGGTGCCAGTACTCATGCTCATACGACTACGAAAACTAATACCCATACTCATTGTCACACATATACTCCATGAAGACCAATACAAATACTCAAACGAAAAATGTAGTCCTGATTGATTTTAGTACGCATAACTGTAAACACGAATGAGAGATAGATACTCATTTTGACACCAATAATACAAATACAGAAATATTGCTTTAAATGCCAATGCTAGTACTAGTACTATGGTACTAATGCGAAGGCTAGCGTGACTAGTACTACTGCCGATCATAGAAAAAAGGCAAACATTGTATCTAGAATACGCATACAAATACCAATGCGAATGCTAGTGCTTTGGCTTCTGCTTCTGACTAACACAAACATGAAAAGGAACACCAGCTCCAACACTACAACCGAGATCACGCCTTCATTACGAAGATTTAATTGAGCAGCAAATTAGTACAGGACATAACAGAGAATGGTCAATTCTTGTTTTGGGAGGGATCCCCCTCCACTACAGAGGGTCCAACATAGCAGGCTAAGTGTGCATACGGACACGGTGCCTCATGTGGAGTTCCCCTTAGCTTGCCGTATCCAAAGAGCGCACAGGATTCGGGTACGCACTGATGTTTGCGATGCTGAGACAGCGAGTTCGCGCGAACTCCCTGAAGCCCCCAGGCTCTCAAACATTCAAACGAGAGCCGTTGTGCTGTGCATGCGTGAGGGAGCTGCGAGCGCCGACTACTCGTGCTGCTACGCTTCCTCCCGTGCCGTTGACGACGACGGCGAGCCTTTTTATTTATTACAATGCTCATTAGTTGCCATGTCGCCTCCTTCGAAACCCAAAGTCCAAACCCTAAATCCTAGAATGCACACCCCGCACTGGTTATTAGTGCCAGGTGATTGACAACTTCCACTTGCATCGGCCGCCCATGGTTTGGCCATCCCTGGGCCCTCAGTTAGCGCGGCTTCTGAACTGCAACAAGAGGTTAAGCAGGTCAAGATAATGCAAACTAAGTAAGCTAACTTGTGTTTACGGCCAAGTGAATGTATAGGAATAGATTTGGTGCTTGAGAGGGAGTGCGGGTCTGAGTCAGGGAAAACAAGGAGATCATATAGGAATCTTTTCAGCCACTCTCGAATACAAGAAAGAGCTGGCAAAGTGACGACCGGCCTTTGCCGCATGTGCACCCTTCTATGTGCAACGCCTTTAATGAGTCAGCTGAATAACGATATGAGTCTCAGCTGTTCTTACGGAAATTCATCAGAGAGGCTTTTTGCTTGAGAGAATTCTGAGAAACTGCAGGAAAAAAGATGCCATTTAAGAACGCCATAGAGCATCACGGGACTGCTTGGTCTTGTTGTGCTTGATCTCCGCAATCGAGTGATGAGGTATTACGTCCGGAAGGAGTCCGACGCTTTTTTCGCTGACTTTGAGGGGGAGTCTCGATCCACGGAGCCGCTTGGAAAGAGCTTGGGCACGGCATACTTAACTCGCCGCATGTCAGTGCCCCTCTTCGGCTTACAGGCGAGTGAAGAAGGCCATTGAAGCCGGCACGCCCCTGGTTATGGTAAACGTCATGCCGCAGCAGGCCAGGACACTGGCAGGGAGGCTTGTCTTTAGGAAGCTTTGCATCAAGTCCGCTCTCTGTTTGGGCAGGAGTGCAACTATGTACAGCTCGACGCCCGCATCAAGGTCAAGGACTGACTCGACCGGATTGCATTAGACGTCACAAATCATCGCTTCGGTAAAAATGGGTGCAACTCTGCCGGGGAGACCGTAGCATGAGCAAACACAATTGTAGCAGTTCTTTTGGCCCATATAATTCGGCTGGATCCTGCTAGTCATTGCCTGGGCCCCGAAGTGCAACCGAGTTGGCCAGGCAGCAGAGTGATGCCACTCGTAGTGCTAGCACTTTCCAGATCAGCTCTGACGAGCAGCAGAACCATTGGTGCATCAGACCATGTCAGACCTGTCCACGCCCCATCTAAAAACATAAAGCAGGGTCTGCAACTTGTCCCACTACTAAACACCTCAAAAGCACTCGGGCCATTTTTTACATTACTACCGCCATTGTTATCGTTTCTATTAATGTTAGCCCAGACGGGGTATGAGCAAGCTTCACACAGCACAGTCTATGGCAGCACAGGCTTCCTTATACAGCAAGACCCCAGAAAGGTCAATGGAATCTCGTGCCGTTGGATTCACAGCTGAATCGCATATGTCAACATACGTGGTACTGAACGTCTTTCTTTACACATGTGAACTGGAGCCAAGCAGACACACACACTCATGGCGTGACTTCCCCCTAGTCCACGCAAGCTGGACTACGTTCCTACTCACGCCGACAACTTGAAATTCTCTTCGGAACTCCAGCGTCATACAACACATCCTCGTCCAGCGAGCAGGCGATTCTACCTTTCTCACTCCGAGGCACACTGCCGGATCCCATGTGGGACGAGGAAGAAGTCCAGGCAGGACGGCTGTGCGAAGGAAGATGAGGACGACGAGGTCCGGTAACAGGGAAAGTCCAGGAATCCATGCTCTGCAACCTCTGCAACGCATCTGAGAACCTATCCAGGCTTCTTTGCGCGACGGGGGTCTCGGAAGGCAATGTCAGCAGGGTGGAATGCATGTCACTTCTCCGCGGGTGGCGTCACGCCCCTGCGCAGAATGATACAAAGGGATCTGGATGCACATGCGCCAGCTGAGCCAACGTCGACCTCGATGCCGCGGTAGGGAAGCGCAAGCTACACGGCCTACATAGCCACCCCCTACGTGAGGATATTAGGGGGGGGAGTCATGATGGGAAAATGTGCTTCCTCCTCCTATTTCTGGACGGGGGGGGGGGAAAGGGTTGGAAATAGGAGGAAATCCAGGAAAAATGGGAGGAACATGATAGAACAGAAAGAGATAAGTTCCAATTCTGTCAGGATCTGTCAGGCACCGCGCTAAGGCTTCTCAGGTGTGTCAAGCAGAAGGAGCCTGAGCCTCTCACTGCAGATAGTGGGAGGCAAGGGCACCGGAAGGATGCGGAAGAAGCAGCCTGAGCCTCCCACTGGAGAT